CCCCCCCCGATGCTACGTCTGTGTTCAGAAATATTGAAACTTTAAATAAAAAAAAATGGAATTCAAGTTAAACTTATTTATTGTTATTAACTCTGAAAAGTTACATTTTTTTAAACTAATTACATTAAACAGTAAAATACAATCATATGTTTGTATCAGCGAAAACAACATGCCTAAAGTTGTAAATATTAAGTAGTAATAAGAACTATAAACATACAAATTTTAAGAACCAAAAAAGACAAATTAGAATTTTTTTTAAAATTTTTTTAATCAAACCTGTTAAATTTTTGCGAACTAAAGTCCTCCAAAAGAATATAAATATTCTGTAGATGGTTACTAAAAATTAATTAGAAAAATCAATCATATTGTGGGTTGAAACGAAAGAAAATAACAGATAAAAATAGTAAGCTGGATTGGGGGTATTAAAAAAAAATATCATGACCAAACATAATTTTTCTTTCCGAATTTTACATTCAAAATATTAAATACATTTTTAACGATTCGAAAAGAAGATTGTAAAACACAACACTTGAAAATATGCAATAAATTTTTAGAAAGTTAAAAAAAAAAAATCAATTCTAATTTCAAAAACTTAAAGATTTCTTATCTGGGGGCATAAAAAATTTGTTAGACTGGGACTATAGCCCCAGTCGTTCCCCCCGTAATCCGATCTTCCCCATAGATAGTTTCTAAATGCATAACGGTTCGGCTACTTTAAAGTAAGGTTTTTCTCGTTTAGTTTGTATTCCTTCTGTAACTTAAAGATAAATAAATAAATAAAAAAATCGTCATTGCAAAACGCAAACATAATACACATGCATTTACTTTTCAATTTAATTAGTAAAAATTAAAAAAAAAATATTTACCGAAATTAAAAAAATTTTTAGTGTAAGGAAACACTGCAAAATAGACTGGAAAATAATGCAGTCGAAATTATTACATAATTATTATTGGAATTATATTGAAAATAAATATTGGAAAATTATTATATATGAACATATGTTGCCCGAATGAGATACTTTACTCGACGCTTTAGCCTTTTGCCAAAGAGAGAGAGAGAGAGAAGGTTATTACGTCCTATAAAAAGGAAATATGTTTTACTTTCATTGAATTAGCTTTAAAAATAAACTCGGACGAAGAATATTTCACGTTCGTATAAAGTATGTCTTTATTTGCCCATCATACGTTTATTTAAGTTAGCATTTTAACAATGTATTTAGTTTTTACGCCTACTGTTTTATCAGTTACTGTTTACATTCTAGAACACGTTCTTTAACTGTTAAGATAATTGAAGAGTGTGTGGGTGCTTTTATAACCTTGACTTTTCAGACGATATTTTAAAATGAATGGGAGAAATTCATTTCGTTAATCTGAAAGAAATCGTTTACGGGGAATAATTTGATTGGTTCAGAAGAGAAACGTGCTTAGTTTTTGAGAAGCGGGTCATTAAACAAAAGGGGTAAAATAATTTATGGGCAAACAGTATATTTTAACTGTTAATAGAATTCAGAATAATGACAATATAGTAAATAAGCCTTTGCACTTTAGTTTCTTTTAATGGTTAAAAAATAAACAATGGTTGTAACAGCTTTAAATATAAGTAAATAATTTCCGCAACATTCTGGTGTGGCCCTGGGGCGTTATGGTGATTAAGACTCCACGATTTCATAACCATGATTTTGGCAATATGGACGGCATTGCGCATAGTCCGCTTTTACTTCTCGGACAAGCTGGTACTAATCGATTTGAAACTAAGTGGACATCAAGCCGCCACTGCAGATCAAACACCAGTCCTTCACAATAACAGTTCACAATGCCTTGAGAAGACACTATACCAAGAGAAAAAAATTTCCACACAAATTCTCCTTCACCCTCCATAAATAATTTAAAATTTAAGTTATAGAAAAAGTGAGTTCAGACAGACCTAGCGTAAGCCATAAAGTTTCAAACGAACTGAAAAATAATTTTCAAAAAGAAAACTATTTATGAGACTATAACCTAGGGTTATGTCATTGAGGCGAAGTTCTCTGCCAACAATTTGTTTGCATTTTGATGTTTTAAAATTTTTTTTAGAAATTTGTAACTTCATAGCTTACTCTCAGTTTGCCAGAATCCCTTTTTCACACTTTAAATACTTACGGACTCTAACCTATGATCCGTCAACCACTGAATATAATTCACGTCAGCACTGTGGTCGGTGCAAGCCGGATGCGAAATTCGTACCGACCAGCCATCGCTGGGATTCGAACCCGGTTCAAATCATTGGAAGGCGAACACTCTATCTCCCAAGTCTTCGCGGCTCTACTTGAAATATAAAAAACAAACAATGATTTTTAATTTATTGGAATTCCAGGCGGTGCAAGTGCACCTTCTTGACTCCCTTTGAGGGCACCCATAATAGGATAAAATTAACGGAGTGACTAAACATAACGAATGCGACCAAAAAATTGACTGCTAGTCGCCTCTTTTAGAACGAAAATGTATCCTATATGCCTTTCATTTTTAATAAATTTGGAATTTATAAATGTTTTATAAGATTTAGAAAATGATTTTATGATAAATTTGCTTCGTAAGTTTTTTCTTCCTTAAAGAAATGAAACCTTAAGTTTACCATACTTAAATAAATGTTTTACATAATTATATTATCAAAAGTTTTTTTAATCGTTTAGAATGTTCAATACTTGAAAAAGTTGTTACGTGTTTTAAAAACTAGTCACTGTTAAAAATGTTATTACTGACCAGAAATAATTTAAGTTCATATAAACAATTGCTAGATAAAATAATTGTTGATAGTAAAATTTATGATTGAATAGTTTTTCTTTTGTTTCATAACCTAAAATAATTTTATTTGTATATAAAGCATTTATAAAATGTATTTTAAGCAAAATAATAAAAATGGTCATAAAAGAGTTATTTCAAAACCAGATGGGAGTAATAAAAATTATAAATATAGATATATAGCTGATAAAGATATCTTGATCATACCAATATAATTACTTAAGTATTAAAAAAAAAGTTTTCTTTCTTTTTTTGCTTACTTTGTACCACAAATTAAAGCTTTATATGTAGTGTGATTTATAATCATATTAAATTTTGGTGCTTCATAATTAAAAAATAAACAAACAAATGAATAGAATATTTAAAGCAATATACATCCAAAGCACAGGGGGACGATAGACATTTTTTTTTAAAATTTCAAAACTAAAAGCTTAATTTTTTAGGGAAATTAATGGAAGCATTAAAAAAAAAAACTTTTTAATTTTGATGACAAGAACATTTAGAACAAATGCTTTAAAAATATATTTTATGTAAAAGGTTTCATAACAAAATTTTGAAATTTATGAAAACACTTTTAAATGACATGCAATCAAAAATACCTTAATGGTTACTATTTATTAAAAAATAATTCGAATTTTTATAAAAACTTTGATAACACAGGGTGAGTAGCCAAATTTTTCAACAAAAAATAAGCACCTTCTAAGCACTCAAAAAATATTTTTAAGCCCTTTGAAAAATATTATAATTAGACAGGGTTGGCAAGTTTTTGACAATTGATGATTTTATCTACAGTGACGAAGACGCGCCACAAACGATGAAATTAACAAGAGAAATGAAATTTTCTATCGCTGATAGAGAAAAAAAATTGACAATGTTTAGTTGGTCCCCGTAATCAGCAAAAAATCGAGAGATTTTTCGATTCTATTACAGAGGGCGGAAAATGAAGTCTGAAATTGAGAATCTGTTGCAAAATGCAGCAGGGTTGCACATGAGAGTCAAAAATCCTTACCACTGAATCCAGCTCAGTATACGCAAGTGCGAATCCATAAGTATTTCATCAAACATGTAAAGCAAATGGTGTTTTCACGCACTACAGACCGGTGGTACACTGAAATAGATAGGGATTGAATTAATTGTGAAAACGTTGAATAAGACGTCTTTTTGCATAATTTGTGGCAAAAATCAAGATGGTAAAAAAAAAATATCACATTTCGGAAAAGGGAAAATTAAGCACTTTCTAAAAACGCTCATGGAAAAAAGCACCTTTAAGGGCTTTTAAAAAACGCTACGTACCCTGTAACAAGTGTAATTTAGAAAAATATCTTAATAAATGATTGTTATATAATATTAATAAATGAAAGTCTTTGTTATGATTAATAAAATTACAAGCGCATATATACTTTTTTTGTTTGCATTATGTATCTATATAGTAATAGAATTCCATTAACTTTTAGATGGGAGCTGGTAAAGGAAATGCAGTAGGGATAATATGGTTTTTAGTTTGGCTTGTTATTCTAGTGTTCGTTGCCTTTATTGTTGCTGGATTTTGCGCAGCCTGGTACATTTTATTGAGTTGCCTAACACCATGTATACCAGCTCTGACATCCGTTACAGATTTCTTGATGAAGGGAGTCATGTTTGTTAATTATTGTTCAAAAAATATGATGGACATGCGACCACTCTGTTAATTACATTTGTTTTATCATACAATGACTGCTAGATCAACAAAACTGCCACCTGTACATATATAGTTTTTTAACTGTCTGTAATTGTAACAAAATAAAAATGCTACTTTGTATTTTCATGATTTTTTTTATTTATTTATTTACATACAGCCGGTACAAAGGATATAATAGTATACTATGGAAATATATATGACATATAACAAAAAAATGTATGGAAGTTTGAATTATTATGTAAAAAGCAAACATCTAAATAAAAATAAACTAAATAGTTAACACATCAAAGAGAAATAAATATAATGCTTTGGTTTTTAGTCTTAACATACATTGAATAAATCCTTAAGTCTCATAAATATATAATCCTAAAAAAATGTACTAAAATTTTTAAAAATAAAATAAAAACAGCACACAAAAATTTAAATTGGATTACATAAAGCACCATTATACAGTCAAATTACTGTGTACTTAATTATATATAAAAAGATAGAAAAATACTACATGAAAATAAACAGATATTTTTTAACAGGCTTAAAATAATCTCAGCTGCAACAGTCATTAACAAGAGGAAAAAACATGTGTTTTTTAAAGATATACACAACCACCACAGGAAACGGGTAATATCAAGAATATACTATCCGATGGCATAATATTTTACAATATAATAAAATATCATATTACAGGTATAAATTGTTCCCTTAGTTAAAAACAAGGTTACATCTTTCAACCAGAATTAGAAACGCAAATATATCAGTTATTTAAATTAATAATAGAAACCGTAACTTCACCATGGAGTAATTGAATTGAATGTTTGGTTTGATGGTACAAGGTTTTCAGGATCAGAATTGTTCCATTAAGATTGCTCTTATTATGTATTTTTCAAATTCTTTTCAAAAATGAAGATCTAAAAGTATAAACTGTCAATTGCAAATTAATATTTAAGGAAGGGGAAAAAAATATAATCAAAATTTGTCAAATCACTAGTGAGTAAGGCAAGGTGTAGAGTATCAAAACTTGTTTGATCACTGGTTGAAACTTGCGAGTTTCTCTCTTTTTTTTTCCCTTTGGAATCGAAGAAATTTTGAGGTTCAGTATACTAGCCTTCCTTAATTCCGATGTCATATTTCAATAACATTTTTATTTTTACCTATGCCTAAATATTAATTTGCAATTAACTAGTAAGCCTACTTTTTGTTTTCATTGTTCAATAGGACTCTAAAAGCATAGATAAAGAGCAAATTTTCAGGAACACTGCACAGGAAACAATACACTTTATTAATTATAACCACATTTTAGCAAGCTCCATTTTGTGCAAAAGAATCCATAATTAGCATAATGATGATTCTTCAAGTTTATAAAGATAACATTTTAAGTTTACAATTACTTATACTCTAATTCATTAAGTTTTTGTTTACTTTGATTTGATTAATGGCATTTCAGATATATATTTTAAAATTGAGAAGTAAAGAAAAGGAAGAATGCATTTAATATAACTTAAAATAAAAATCTATTTTTATGTATGTTAACTTATAAAGTCATTAACAACAGAAATAAAAAAAATCTGAAACTATTTTAAAAAGTTTCCTTGTGAAAATAAGTCATTATTCAAAAGAATAAAAAATATTAATAATTTTTAAGTAAAAACAAGCTTTTTATAAGTAAAACAAGTTTTATAATTGTTTTAAACTTATGTGAATTTCTTAATGTCAATGTTAACAAATATATGATTGCGTTAGAAGCATTTCTAGTTTTAGAAAGTAAAAAAAATTGAAGGCATGTGGATACAAAGTCATGTATAATTAATCATAGAAACAGTAACATTTCACATCATTTATTGAATATTAATGGAACAAAAGCAAAATTTAATGCATGCAACACTTTTAACAAATCTGTACAAGTTTAGCCTTTTAACTCTGATAGCACAAGTTCAGTTGCTCAAACAAAGTATGAAAAGTAAATTCGATAAAGTAAAGTTGCAAGAAGTGCAGCTGAAATTGGAAGAACCCAGCTTTTCCATGCTCTATAAAAATAGAAAATAATAACAGTTAAAAATATAATCTTTTATAAATAATAAGTTAACATTTTTCAAAAATAAGAGAAAAAAAGAAAGACATTCGTCAACTATTGACAGATTTTTGAAGTCTGGATGCTACCATAACATGTCAACACCTGGACTCCCTAATTTTGAAGTCTGAATATTACTATACCATAACATGCTAAGATCTTCAAAGGTTGCAAACATTAAAATTTTATCACTTGTCTATATTATGACGAAAATGTAAGAGTATTTCAAATTAGCTAGGCTTATTTGTTTAACACAAATAAGGACAATTTTTAATTTGCAGTCAAAAAGTTAAATAATTAGCCACACAGTAACATTAATGTAAGTTTTTTTTAGGATCGTTTGTTATTGCTTCCTAATTTCTTACTTTTTGTTTCGAAGGTTTAAACATGATGACAAACAAAAAAATTTTTAAAATCATTCTATAATATAAATCATAGGTTCCCAAAGTAGGTGGGAGAAAACTTAGAGCATCATAGGCATTTGGGGAATGATATAGTTTTTTAGAACAGTATCAACATATAGAGAAAGAGAATATTAATGTATTCTTTAACTTATCAAAAGAATATAAAAAAACAGGTACTTTCAACTATAAACTACATATTCTTTCATTTTGTAATTTTTCAATTAAAACTTAATATGTTAGTGAAAATTATATATTTTTAATGCATATAAAAGTTTTATTTAAAAATCAATTTTTGAAAAATAATCCTATCATTATGTGCTGAAAATTTTTTATAAAATTATTGCAAAAATAATAAATTTTTTTAAAACTTTCTTTGACATTGAAATGTATAATATTAATAATTAATATTAGATATATTTGATGGTTTAGGGATGAAAAAATATTAATTATTCTAAAAATCATACAATTATTAAAAACAATAATTCTAAAAAAATATGTCAGTATAAAATAAATAATCAATATTAGTTAAATAATAGTTGACATAATACATGGTAAATCAAAATTAGAAGCAATATAGATTTAAATCCCCTAATTATGTAATATTCTCTCTTGAATTTATACAATTCTAGAATCATAAAAAATAATGCTTTAATATGATTTTTTATGGTCACATAATATCTACATACCCAGCTTCATTTTCATTTACAGGCCAATGATTCTTTTCCTAAAATAGAAATATTTCAATAAATAATGATTTTAACTTTTTGAAGTACATAAATAATAAGCAAGCCACTTCAAAGCAGCAGTGCAGAAAAGTTTCAGTGCCTAATATTTTCCCAGAACAGTGTTTATTAATTTTTCTTGCATTTTTCTCCACAATTATACTTCATAATGTTTTTAGAAAGTAAAAGTTATTTTAGTTTAACAAAAAAAAAAAAAAAATCATTTGATTTCAAATAAACGATATCAGATATAAATTTATTTGTGTTATATTTAACATAATTAAGAGTAAATAAAAACCATTAACTAGATACAGCACTAAGCTTAAAAACTATAAATTGGATTGATAATATTAAGTTCAATGAAACAGTTAAGTAAGTTAAACCAAGAAAATTTTTTTTGCACAGGTTTGAAAGTAGTTTTTATTAACAAATTGAACATTATTTACATGACAAAAAAAGAAGCCAAAAATTTAAGAGTCACAACTTAATCAAAATTCAAATAGTCATTATGACTAACCATTATTCCATTATAATTATGATTCACAAACCATTATGTAACAACATAAACCATGGAGAAATCTTTATTTTCTGAAAGTTTCAACTCTTTTGCACTTGTTACACATGAAAATGTTTTGGATTATTAAACTGTTTCTTTTAATGCCTTTTTTTACAGCCTATTTTTCTATTGCAACTAATGTCATTTCAATTAAGTACAGTATTATTAATATTAGAATTAAATAATGCAAGAACATTGAGGAATATATTGGGTTTCTGTTCATACAAAAAAATCCTTATGTGCACAAAGAAAATATTTTAAATAACAGACGCTTTGTTAATTGTTACCAACATTTTTTTTATTAACTACTCAATTAAGAAATTATAAAGTTACAAAATTTTAAAATTAATAATTGATTGGTTCAATAAAATGACATGAATTATGTTTCTAGTTAAATAATTCAATTTTTTTTTTATTTTTTATACATAATACATTATTTTTTCCTATTACAAATTTCATGCAAAACTTTTAAAAACAAAGTTTGTAGAATTAAGACATTTAAATTGTACACAATATAAATTAACTTTGTTTTTTTTTAACCCTAATCGGAGGAAATATATCCTTACAATTATAAAAAGTAATTTTTATAAACTAGTAATAATGTGATAAATTACTAATCAATGTTTTGCATTTTACATGCAAACCATTGCAAGTTAGTTTTGGTGAACATGGTAACATTTTTTTTTTATCAAGGAAATTTAATAAATTGCAAAGTATAATAAATAAATACTAGAATTAGTTTGAAAATATACAGAAAACTTCACAAGATCAATTAAAACAAATGTAAACTACATGAAAAAATAGACATATCTTATCTAAGAGACAAATATACATATAAAGAAATCATACCTCAATATCTGTAATTTTCTGCTTGTCTTCCTAAAATAAAATTAGTGAGATTAGAAATTTTCGAAACAAAAATATAAAAGGGTGACAAAACATTATACTGACACTATTATTAACTAACTACTCAGTAACCAGTTTACTCAAGTCTCGTACATGCTTTTTTTACTTTTAAATAATTTGCATACATGCAAAGAAATAAAAGCTTTTAGACAAGCTATTTTTCAGTAAATTAGTGAAAAAGTCAAACAGGTTGAAACACATGGATTTTTAAATAACTTATAGCCTACACAGATGAAGAAATTTAGTTATAATCGCCCAAAGCCAAGAGAATTGTAGCCATTGTATGCATATCCCCAATGGAGAGATTTCCTTTTTTCCCCCAATGAAATAAAAAGCTGGTTTATTAAATACCTCATTGTTTAAAAGATAAATACTATGATGATTTCAGTAGCTTTTATTATTGCTAAAATTAAGGGAGAAAGTTTTAACCCTGCAATCCCTTAAGGGGTTAAAAGAACTTTAATATTATTTTATTATCAATATTCTAATGTGCCAATGACATCAATCTTTTATTTAATAAATTCAAATCCTTCAAATGAATACTGCATTTACAAGTATACTAAAAAATGTGCTTGTGTACAAAGTGTTAAAAGGTTGCAGCAGAATTTATTATGAGCACAGTTTTACGAGCTAATGTAAGCTTAAAAAATGCTCTTCACAACAATTAAGCAAGTTGGCAGCAGCAGAGGCGTATCTAGAGAAAATGGCGCCTATGGCAATCCTCCTATCGGCGCCCTTTTTAAGATATTTTTATTCTCTATTGTTTCACACACACATGTATATATATATATATATATATATATATATATATATATTTA